TCAGCGATGGAAAATGGACGTTTTCTCACTCATTACATGCCTAATGAGCTGCGTGATGCATATTTTTTGCAGTGTGCACCCTCGGATTGCACCGATGTCTCCGGGGAGCGTAAAGGCTTTCCATGCACACCCACATCCGTTCACCCCCCCCCTTCTGTAAAAGGTTTAGGATGTTTGATTTTGGTGGTTGGAAGGTTGGAGGTCACTACTTGTAAGCTAACAATTTAGTTAGGTCGTCGAAATGCTTCAGTTTCTTTAAAAAACTGAGTCAACAATAATCGTTTGGCAACAATACTGTACAAGCAGGGTGTCATGATCTGGCCTGTTTGCTCTCCCTTAATTAGTAATTCCTTTCACCTGTCGTTTTTCCTCCCTGCCTCAATTATAATTTATTCCTCTCACCTGTGTCCTCCAGTTTATATTCAGTTCAGCCTGAGCATTCAGTGCCAGATCATTGCTTGTCTTTCTGTCAGTCTTTCTGTTCAGTTTTATTTGGTTCATGTCCTGGATCCTAGCTACCAGTGGAAAGAGGGTTTTAGTGTCTGTCTGTCTGGCTCATTATGTGGGGAGGTTCAGTTTTTATCCAGTAAGCCTGGCTCCAGGAGGAGACCAGTTTAAAGTCCTGCATCAAGTTCTGGTTCCACGTCCTGTCTCGGCTACCCTCTTCCACTGAGAGCCTGTCTGCACCTGATCCTGTCTGCTCCTGTGCGTGACCACCTGGTCATGCTTCTGGTCCCAGTCAGACTCTGAACCCTCCTGGAAGCCTGTGGATGCCTGGAAGTCTGGATCCTGCCACCTGTTTCTGTTCCTGCCTGATCTGGATCCTATTCCTGTCTGTTCCTGTCTGTTCTGAATCCCTGACCAGGATCAGCTTCCAGCATGACCTCTGGGACTGCAGCACTGGGGACACCCGTGGTCTGGACTGTTAAACCAGGTAAGTGACCACCACAGATAATCTTATATCAGTTGATCGTGGTCACTTACCTGTGTTTCCTCCCTAGAGTGTCTGAGATTGGGCGGTGCCCGCCCCCCCGCCTGCAGTGTCCGCGAGCCATAGCTCCGCTTAGTTTTTGTTTTATTATTTAATAAACGTTATGAACTTTCCTACTGACTGTCTCTCCTTGAATACTGGGTCCCTCTGTCCTCGGTTCTTGACACGGGTTGATTTAGGAAAAACATAACCTGACTCCGCCAGATGGATTTGCTGGATTTCCTCCGCATATCCATCTGGAAACCTTCCGTTGAAGTAATTTTGGTAAGGGACGAAAATACTGGTTAGCTGATTGGCCTATGTTGGTGATAGACGGGCCAAATAAACCAATCAGATCAACGAAGCATATGACGTACTAACAGAGCGACGACGAAGAGGAGCCAATCGATAGATCAAACTCTTGCCGAAACCAGTCGGGAGAAGAGCAAAAACATCTTTTCCTCTGAGAAAAGCCTCCAGAGCAGTGTTTTGCTCTTCTTTCAGTGAAGAAATACTCTGTAATTCCGATAAAACTTGCTCTATAGCCACGCTAACGCTAGTTTCATCGGCTGAAGCCGCCATGTTCTTTAGACTGAACTCTCGCGCTTCTCGTTGCGTCACACCTCAACCCGCCTCAAAGCCAACGCTGATTGGACGTTCGTTTGGTGAACGGCTCCAAATTTTCTTCAACGGAGAGTCTCCAAACTGATTAGCGAGTGAAATCTTGAAAGCTCGCGAGATCAGGATGGTCTCACGAGGCTAGCAGAAACAGGCATGGGGCCCTCTACCAGGGGTTGACGTTAAGGATTTTTACTACTCTTTGGGCAAGTGGCTTTCACATTTCATTTGCCCAGAAACAATTTTTACTTGCCCAGTATAATGTTTGATAAATATAGTTCCTAATATTCATTTTTGTATATATATCAATTAAACATGTTTGTTGTTTAAAGGTTTTTTGTAATTCATTATTTTTTAAGTTTCCAGGTTCCTGGTGTGTATCTGCATGCGTCAGATAATGAGCTCAAACCTACATTACCGTGTTAACATGCTTTTCAATCCTTCCTGCACATTCTTTTCAAACTAAACTTTGCTTTAAACTGTTGTGTGCTTGGAAAAATATAAATTGTAATGTTAAAAATCTAAAAAAAAACTTGACAGGTTAAAAACAAGATAAATCACAAGACAGAAGTCAATGTCACAAATGAATAACTTATTTTAGAGTCACGGTATGTTTATACAAGATAATACAATTAATATAATGTGACTTTTCTAGAGAATCATTATACATAGTTATTTTATACAGGGTTTCCACAGTCTGACATCATTTCAGAATTCCCTGACTTTTAACTGACTCAGGATTAGTTTCCCTGACAAAATAAATGCAGCAACAAGACAATAATAATAACTTAACAGGTCACCAATTTAACATGTTTAGCTCTATAACATTTAAATGCACCTCTCCAATGTCTAAGAGAAAAAAAAATGTATGAAAATTTTTTTAATGTATGACCTGCATTACTATACAGAAAACTACCATATGATAGCGCTTTCTAGCTTGTTTGTCGTTTTGGTAACTACATCAAAATTACCGCTAGGTGGACAAAAATCACACCATCTGTTGGAAAATCACCCAGCGGGCAAATGCAATGAAATCTGTACCCTCCCAACAATAAAAACTACTTGCCCCGGGAGATCGGACGATGGTTAACATCGAGCCCTGTCTACATTTAAAAAATACATAAAACAGGCACATTATACAGAAATTTGAATAGAATAGACATCCATTATTTGGGGATTAATAAACCTCTGATGACATAACGTCTGCTGAAGCTCCTCCAAAAATGTTTTTAGCATCCAGAACAGCAGTGAGAAGTTCGCTATACATTCTTTGCCTGCTTTGTGTGTCAACTGTGACAGTTGCTAGGTAACACTTTGAACTGAGTGAGGGGCGGTGACAGCTGAAGAAGGCTGGACCTGATAGAATCTATAGCTGAGCCTCCTTATTTTAATAGCCAGAGCCGCGTAATCGAACACAGCCAGCGTCTCAACAATTCCTTCAAAAGTATTGGCACAGATTACTGGGGCTGGATCGCTGGGGTGAAGCTGGGGGGTAGCGAGTCGTTAGCTATGCTTCTGGGCGCCCCTACCAGGTGATTTGTTGTTCTCATTTGGACATGATTCACCAACTCCAGAACAAGCAGTTCCTATCTAAATCAGAGGGTGGCAGCAGTGATACTCTAAAGGGGACTGTCCCAACTAATTTGACATTTTGTTATTGTAACGATGCGATTTCTTGCTGTATATTTGTTGTCATTTTATGGGTAATATACTAACACTAAAGATAAAAAACAGAATTCATGCTCTTTTCAGAGCTAAGTTGATGAGAGATGTTAGCCTCGTGAGACCATCCTGATCTCGCGAGCTTTCAGGATTTCACTCACTAATCAGTCTGGAGACTCTCCGTTAAAGAAAATTTGGAGCCGTTCACCAAAAGAACGTCCAATCAGCGTTGGCTTTGAGGCGGGTTGAGGTGTGACGCAACGAGAAGCGCGACAGTTCAGTCTAAAGAACATGGCGGCTTCAGCCGATGAAACTAGCGTTAGCGTGGCTATCGAGCAAGTTTTATCGGAATTACAGAGTATTTCTTCACTGAAAGAAGAGCAAAACACTGCTCTGGAGGCTTTTCTCAGAGGAAAAGATGTTTTTGCTCTTCTACCGACTGGTTTCGGCAAGAGTTGATCTGATTGGTTTATTTGGCCCGTCTATCACCAACATAGGCCAATCAGCTAACCGGTATTTTCGCCCCTTCCCAAAATTACTTCAACGGAAGGTTTCCAGATGGAGATGCGCAGCAAATCCATCTGGCGGAGTCAGGTTAGAGAGATGTATGAATTTGTGCACAATTAGGAAGGCCTTCATAAACCTAATTTCTTTCGAAAATACTTATGTCGTTGTTTATTTTACTTTTCAGTGTGATTAGTGTAGATGAACCATGAACTGGTTTTGGGTGCAGTCAGTTTCTGTGAACATAAGTTCCTGCCTAGGCAGCACTAAAAGAATGTCGAGCTTTACCACATCCTGCCGCTTTGTGTTTTCCATTTTATTCCAATCTGAATCACAAGATCTCCTTTATTTATTTATTTAACTTACTGTTCCTTTATATTTTATGGGTAGGCTTAAAACTTTCCTTTTTGATAAAGCTTATAGTTAGAGTGGCTCAGGTTATTCAGGTTATTCTCCCACTTTGTAGAATCTGTTAGTTCAATCTCTAACGTTCTGCTCTCTCTGCTTTTTCTCATAGTAGCTTCATCTGGTCTGTTCCTGTTTGGCTGTGACTCCATCCTGGAGAGAAATATCAGCTGTGCTGCTGCCATCAACACCTTTGTTTATAGATGTTGGAGCTTGGCCTGTTTTCCAGTGTAGTCCTGTTTCTCTGACTGTGACTAACTGGATGTGCTCTCTTCATCCTCTGACATGGGAGCTGGCTCGGAGCACGTCTGCCTGGCTGTGTGTTTCCTGGACGGGGCCGCATGTGGAGCTGGTTGACAGTTGCCTTTTGTATCTGTGCTTCTTTTTCTATGTCTGCTTCTGTCTCCTTGAACCCCAGTGGGCCTCAGCAGATGGCCACTCACACTGAGCCTGGTTCTGTTGGAGGTTTCTTCCCGTTTTTCTGTCCACTGTCGCTACAAGCATGCTTAGTGTGAGGGATTACTGAAGAGTCAATGAGTCGATGCAGTCAGCTGGTTTTCTTTAAATAGAAAACTTTGAATTAATCTGATTATATGATCTGGTTGAACTGTAAAGTGCCTTGAGATGACATGTGTTGTGAACTGGCGCTATAGAAATAAACTGAATTGAAAACTCCATATTTCGGACCAAAATCTCAAAAACTGATAAAGTATTAGAAAAATGTGAACATTGTTATTTGTAATAATAGTTCGAAGTATTTTCAATGGACCTTCCTGGGTTTACATGTTAAAAAAAAATTTATTTAAGTCTATTAACACCTTAGTGGATAAATGATACTTAA